ATGCTCCCAAAAATGGCTCCACAGCATGTAAAAATATAATATAAGCTCTGGCGGACTTGGTTCTATGGTAGGTCTTAAAGGGTTAAGGAAGGTGGCCAATTCAGAGCCAGAAAAACTACAAAAATAACAAAAAAAAATACATGAATGTGTGTGTGTGTCCGCTTTAAATGCTATTTTAGAACAATCTCCGTTTGGATAGCTTTGCGCCTCGCTTGGCTTTTGTTTATTCTCACTGCTTATTTCAAGCTTATCTATCAGCCTGGACGTTGCTAAGCTGCACCTCTTCAGCTCTCTGCATCTCCCCTCGCACAGAAATGAAAATCGGACCATACACAATGAGATTTCCCCGTTTTTGCTGACTGCTGTTTTGGAGTCTCCTCTAGCTTTCAGCGCTCTCTCACCGGGGCCCTGTCTTGTGCCATTTGTTTCAGTTAGCGGGTAATGTGTGTGGTTGTCAAAAACAATTGGCTTGGGTGGTGTGAGGCACGCACTCCAAAGCGCGACCGACAGTAAATTGTATTTTTCCACAGAGTTATTAGGCCATTATTATGGCGCTAGAAGTGAACAATGCCTCCTCATCATCAAAGGCAGACAATTAGAATCATCATTAATCGCTGCTATCGGCACATCAATGGGGCAAGGGGTTATAATGGAGTTATAGACCACTTATGGGGTAATCAATCAATGCGATTGCTAACTAAACTCTCTTTCATTGTGCCAAGGACTGAGTGGCCAGTCAGTGACTCAAATGAGAGCTATTGGATAGGAGTATGTGAGAGGAATGTTTACGGCATGTTATTTGTAGTAATGTTCAGTTGTGTCCAATCTCTTATCTTAAAGCCATTTTCCTCCGTGGCTCTGCAGAGCTGCATCCAAGCAATCATAGTCAGCTCCATCCTGCAGCCCCCAGGGGCTACAATAATGGCTGAATACATAAAGGCCAGATTAGAGTAAATTGATGCTGTTATTGCTGTTCCACACCAGCACCAGTGGAACATTTAGCAGCTAAACAGGCAGACAGTTTTCTCAGGAGACGGTGAAGACCCAATAAGAGCTCAAAGACAAACGATGATTGGACTGTGATGAATAGAAACGTTGCTCTTTTGCCTGATGAATGCTGAAATATTTACCATTACTGTTTGAAAGATGTTGCGTCAGTGCGAACAAAACATGTTTTTGATGCCAGTGGTGCTGAACAAGGTTATTATCGTTAACGAAATAACGAAAAC